GTGTGTGTGTGTGTGTGTGTGTGTGTGTGTGTGTGTGTGTGTGTGTGTGTGTGTGTGTGTGTGTGTGTTTTATGTGTGTGGTACTCCCCTGAGGAAATGACAAAATACTCAAGTTAAATAAATAAAATAATAAGACAACCAGACATTAAGGTGAAAACTGTGTAAAAATCATGTGACTGCWTTACAGTAATTATAGTATTAGATCAGGTGGAGAACACAGCAGGATCAGTGACTGAAGGTAGCCCACCCTCAAGCCTGACAGAAGAGGTGATTTGGTGCAAACTGAGCCACACTGCCATCATAACCACACCTGTGACAAACTGGCTTACTGGTGGATCGGCATCAGTGATATCTGAGCTGATGAGCTTGAGGAACCTACTGTAGCTGGACGTAGACACAGTTACCATGTGTGGATGGGCAATGTCTTATAATATAATGTCTTTAGAGTAACACTGTTCCAGGGGACTTTCTAAAGAGAGGTAAGGCATGAGAACACAGGATGTCACTAGTGATGTACATTCCCTAATTAAGCCCCACTATTACTACCCTATGGTTCTCCACACCATATATCAGGAATAATGCAGCCTTTTTTCTTTTCTGGTGTTTTTGGCAGCCAAAGCATGAAACTGTGAACTGTGTCCAGCTGCTGCACACTATGGAGACAGTGTGGGATGACATGAGGTGTTACAAAGAGTCCAGTAGTGGCATCACACACATCATTATCTGCCACAAATGATCAGACAAGTCACATGAATTATTTAAAGTAGTAATATAACAAAAATAACGATGTTGCTAGAGCTAATTTTGAGACATCATCATCATCATCATCATCATCATCATCATCATCATCATCGTTTATTTCTAAAGCACAATAAAAAACAAATACTGTGCAGGAACATAAAATACAAACAAGCAAAGTACATGGTTAACAGAATAAACAATAAAATCAAACAAAAGAGGGAAAGGCTGGCCTAATGATTATGTTCTTCAGACTCAAATGCCTGTTTAAAAAGATGAGGTTTTAGAGACTCAGAGACCCCGCAGACCTCACAGACAGGAGAGTGTTCCAGGGCCTGGGACCTGCAACTGAAAAGATTCTGTCTCCCCTGGTCACAAGCTGAGACCTGGGAACAACTGAAAGCTTTTGATTTATACATCTTAGAGATCTACTCAGAATGTGAGGTTGTAAAAACTCAAGAAGGTGTCAAACCATTTAGACATTTAAAAACCAAAAACCAAATCTTAAAAACTATTCTAAAAGAAACAGGAGGCCAGTGAAGAGAATACAAGATCGGAGTGATGTGTTCATGTCTTGTCCCTGTTGAGAAACGGGCAGCTGAATTCTGAACCAGCTGTAGACGACGAACAAAAGACTGATCCATCCCACAGTAAAGGGAGTTGCAGTAGTCCGGTTTAGAAGTGATAAAAGCAGGAATCTCTCTCAAGGGCATTATGAGGAATATAATCCTTGATTTTACTTATAAGTCTCAGATGATAAAAGCTACTGGACAATTGCACTGATCTGTTCATTAAATATAAAACCAGAGTCCAAAATCAC